TTACAGTTATGAAGTAGCAACGAAAATAATTTTATGGTTTGGGGTCACCACAACATGAGGAACTGTATTAAAGGGTCGTGGACTTTGGAAGGTTGAGAACCATGGAGTTTTTCCAGACTTTCTTGTCTATAAGTGGTGAGAGTAATCCACCTCATGTGGCTGTTTGCAGTATGCTGTATGCTATGAAAGGCCACTTAACTGTAGACATGTGGCTGTCACTGGTGATGCTATCTTCCTGGATCTCCTATATCTTCTAGATGAAATGTTTCTTTGAAGCCAATTCTCAGATGGAAGTAGGAGAACAATCTTAGTCATTAATCTCAGCAAGAGAAGATACTGGAAAGGGCAAGGAATTGTCTTGAGTGGTAGGGTAACATATGCAGGGCCAAACAGGTAGACAAAAGATCTGAAAACAAAGATAGCACTAACCTTTCTTTGTCAAGCTGGGAGGTCTGGGCTAGTAGAAGAACAAATGGTCTTGTAAGTGGGGAACTTTGTGGGAACAGAATCTAGAATTATCCAGATGCTGGAAATTGAGGAGGTAGCTAGCCAATCCTGAAGAAGTGCATTAAAACACCTCTCACAGAACAATTCTGAACTTGGTATAGAAAATTATTCTTTGAAAAGAAGAGATGCTTTCTTGTGTCTGGTTGAAGGTTCTGAGCTGGGTAGCTAATAGCCTCGGAATAGGATTTTGTGTTCAGATGCCAAAGGCTGCATTTACATATTCATATCTACTGCAGTGATAAGTCACTGAGCTCTGTAGATGGAAGACATATTTCAGTTGAAGCTAAGCCAAAAACACTTTTCAGAACATCTGTGACAAAATAGCACCATAAATGAATAAATTCAGAGACATCCTGTGTGTATACCTTTGAAAACTTCTCACATTATACTCGACTCAGAAAAGGGTGGTATGCACAGACTTCTACTATGCAGGCACCCACACATAACAAAATGAAACAGGGAGATAGATAGTTTCAGTTATATTTCTGAGGTACATACTAGGCATGTGTTTGGTAGTTACTGGAGGCAATATAATTTTCTGTTGACACTGGTAAGCAATAGACTGCTAACCACAAGGTCTGTGGTTCAAATGCTTTAGCCTTGAAATTTATAGCCTCAAAACCCGTATGTAGGGTCTCTATGAGTTAGAATTGAATTGATGGCAGTGAGATTTGTTTGGGTTTTTTAGTGGGGGCGGGAGGGTTGGCAATACTGCATAATCTAATCAAGTTATGCATTATTATATGTAGTAGTAGATGTATGAGTGCATGGGCAATAAATTGTAATAATCATGAATTTATTTGCCTGTTAGGTAAAAGATTGTTTCAGAAGATGGATTTGGGTGATTTCAATTCATAGTTAATTATGTATGGACATAGGGTCTTACTGTCATAGAGCTTCCTAGAGAGCTCTTGGCGTGAATTGAAACCTGGCTTCTTGGTTCATAGAGAGATTGCTGTATGTGTGCTCCTGAGCTCGTCACCGTGGCCCTCGCTCTGCTTTGGGACTCTATTACCTCACCTTTGTGATGAAGGGCTTGTGCTAGGTAACATCGGATGCCACCTTCAGCTGTTAAGTTTGATGATTTTTTTATTCAGTCCTAGTCTTTTCATTTATTCATTTAAATTATTTGAGTCAGTCCTCTGTTCTCAGGGTCCCTGGGTTGTATAAGTGGTTAAGTGCATGGCACCTAACTGAAGAGTTGGAGGATTACTCTGGGTGCTGTGTAAAAACTTTAGTTTTACAAAACAAAGCAACAAACAAATAAAAGTAAACCCAATCCCCAATCTTCATTATCATTGTAAATAGTACGCAGTCATTTCAGTGTTTAATTCCTACAGATTAACCACTCAAGGAATGAGGTTTGAATCTAATCCATACTAGTATTATTTCCTTTTCTCCACAGTGTATTAAATTCTATACGCTGGATAAATTAATGACACTATCAATAGAATTACTTTATGCCCCAGGAGGATGATTGATAATGCTCTCTGTCATTAAATGGTAATGAAGCCTCTAAAGTGAAGTAGAGCTATATATAAATAAATCATAGATATGTGAATGGATTGGGGGCTCACACTTAATCCTTATGCCATCTAAGAACAATTAGTTTTTATAACATTCCCTGCTTGGTGCTCACCCTCATAAAGAGATCACTGAAGATATGGTGCCACAGCAAAGTGTGGTTAAGAAAGCAGATAGTGCTTAGCTACGTAAAATGAATAGTGTCTGTGCTCTTAAAAGATTGTTTTCAAACAGGAGCCATCTAAGTGAGGCATCAACTAAGACCACATGGAAGAAGCACACCAATTTGTGTGATCCAAGGATGATAAGGAATAAAATCCAAATCTGAAGGAGGGAAAGGTATCAGAGCTTAACTTCTTAACACCTGGTTTGCAGAAGGCTATGGATGACAGTGGGAGTCCAAAATCCATTAGAAAGGTCCATATATGGAACCCTACATACCTCTGACCATAGTTGAGGGATGTGAATCAGTTTGCTGTCAGACACAGTATTGTAAACTGGAGTACAGCAGATGTAGATAGGTAAAAATGTAATACCTGGTTGTTTGATTTCCCTTTTGACTTATTTTGAATGTGTTCTAGTTTATAATATTTCTTGCTTTTTTCTTGATTTACGGTTCTTTCTCTGGTTTATTTTGTTATTGTTGTGTGCCTTTAAAATTTTTTATTATTGCTCTTTTCTTTTTTTTTGCCTGTATATTTTCCAGTAAATAAAATTCAGGATAGATAAATCTATAGAGACAGAAACTGAACTAATGGCATATTGGTGGTATGGGAAAGGAAGTTGGAGGGAAGTAGGGAGTTAATACAGAGTATATGAAAGAAGAAAATGTTCTAGAATGGATTGTAGTGATGATTATACGACTCTTTTTAATATGACTAAACTATAGAAGTACATGCTATGCAAATTATATATCACTGAGACTATTCTTAGAAACAAAAGCATAACTGATAGGATGCTTGTAATGGCATGGGTTAAATGATGTGAAAAGATCTAAGAATGGAAAAGGTTTATGGTATCAAATGATTTAAACACTTGTGTGGTACATGCAGTCTATCATTTTGTGCATTATTTCTATTGTGCATTAAGTATATTTTGAAAATTATTAAATAGAAATGGCCACCAAAAACATACATATATTATATTCAAAATATTGAAATAAAATGAAAAAGAACACTGGCAATGTCATTTTATCATACAGTAAAATAATCAGAAGTCATGTTTTGCAGAAGGTAAGTTGAACTTTCCAATTATGAGGATGAAAGGCAGATGTGTGCTGGGTCAATTTCATTTTTTCTACTAGATTCTAGAGGCATACATGAGATCATGTGCTTCCTTTACTTTATGAAAACTTCACTTGGGCATTATCCAGTCCTACCTTAATTCAGGTGATCCCTCTTATATTTTTCTTCCTTTTTTTTTTTTTGGTTGTAGAGTACAAAAGGGCTTCAAAAAAAGCTTCGGGAAAAATTCCATTATCTTTTAATTCAATTTTTCTACAAACATTTTAAATCCCCTTTTAATTTGTGGAATGGAGCACTGGTGGCACTGTGGACTAGTCATTGGTTTGATTATCTCAAAGTTGGCAGTTCAAACTCACCAGCTGTTCCTCAGGAGAAAGATGAGGCTCCTGTAAAGATTTAGCCTCTGTTGGTTGCTGTGGGTCAGAATCAACTCAATGGCATTGCTTCTGATTTACTTTTTGGAAAGTAAAAGAAAGTGTCATGTCTAAATGTTTCTCTCATATGAGGACTCAGAACACGGCATAAAGTGACAAAGGGAATTTACTACAAGAAGAATATTCTGTGTGGCAAAGGAGGCACAGCCAGAGGTGAACAGGAATTGAGAAGTGACTATTAGGATTCTTTTGGTTCTCTGCAGTAAGCATATGCACTGTCAGCAGGTATCTTCAACTGGTGTGGAGCTGCTGGTGTTAGGGTACCTCAGATGTCAGGGGGACCGTGGAAAGAAGGTGGGAGGCATTCAGGGCAGGTTTACATAGTCCCACCAGGTAACACTTGTGCTTTCTGTTTGCGGTCTTTTCTAGGGCCTACGAGGAGTGTTCACAATGGTTTGTTCAGGTCTTCAGAGGGTAGCCTTTGCACATGCATACCTGGTGAGGACGGTCAGCAGTTTCTCCAGAGGCCGTCAGTACCAGGCCTCGGGCAAGAGACCTGATGCTTCAGAGCGTCAGCCCTGGGGAGCTGCAGATGGCATGGTGGAGCTGCTAGGCCGAGCCTACCCACAGGACAACCACAGCAATCTCACCAGGAAGATCCTCTCCAAGGTTGGCAGGAATCTACACAACCAGCAGTATCACCCACTGTGGTTGATCAAAGAGAGGGTAAAGGAGCACTTCTACAGGCAGTATGTGGGCCGCTCTGGGACCCCACTGTTCTCAGTATACGATGACCTTTCTCCAGTGGTCACAACCTGGCAGAACTTTGACAGCCTGCTCATTGCGGCTGACCACCCCAGCAGAAACAAGGGGGATAACTACTACCTGAACCAGACGCACATGCTGCGGGCGCACACGTCGGCACACCAGTGGGACCTGATGCATTCGGGGCTGGATGCCTTTCTCGTGGTGGGTGATGT